CGTACTCACTCTGATAAACAAGACAAAAACAGATTTAAATTTTTATTCCTTTTTTAAATTGTAAAAAATTCCTTGGAAGTATCACAAATATTATCCATACTTATGAAATGTGAGTACCTCCATGTTTTTTGATAATTTTTTATTCTGAGGGTTGGAGGTGTTGCGAGGCAAGCTAAACAAATTTTGATTTAAAATTTATAATTTCAAAAGAATGCCAAAAATTTAATAAAAAAAGACAAACTTGGATTTAAAATTTACAATTCTTTGCAGTGAATTAATATTTGCGATAAGTAACTTTAGATTATTTCAGGTAAATTAACAGAAAAGATCCTAGTTGTTCACTGTGGTATATTTGGGTCAGTAATCGTGGTTAGCTAGGTTTAAGATAAGACAAAATGAAAACCGGCCTTCCTCCATCCCTCCTTTTGACCTTGTACTACATTTTTGTATTTGCAAAATAAATATTAATTTCCTTCTGTAATGTTGTTAGGCTACCGACTTAATGATAACACATACAGATGAATGAGATTTGAATCTGTCATATTTAACAATAAATTTTATTCAACGCCTGACTTTGTAAATTACACTCGACCAGTGAGTATATGTCAGTGACCATACTTGCATTCGCACGAGCCTGGTCAGCACCTAGTTGGGTGACTGCTTAAGAATATCAGGCGGTGTAAGCTTGGATGTGTGGGTGGTGCAATGGATAATGGCTGGGGATTGTTAATCGGAGTGCCGAGTTCCAATTCCTGTTGGGTTCGTTATATTCACTTACATGCAAATAGCCTTGGCAGGTAAGATTTCACCTCGTCTCCCTCCAGCTATGGGTTAATTAGCATGATGGGTGACCGATTGAGAATACCAGATGCTGTTAACTTGGATGTGCGGGTGGTGTTGTGTATATTGGTTCCGAATTGTTAATCGGAGAGCTGAGTTCTAATTCAGGTTGGGATTGTTATATTCACTTACACGTAAATACCCTTGCAAAAGGCATGAATCCATCTATCCCCATCCCAGCTATTAGCTAATTAGTAAGATTTGTGTCACTAAATTATTATTATCTTTAAAAACAAAAAATAAATTTTAACAATCTAAATATAATTTGTGGCTTTAAATAATCTGCAAGAGGTTAATAAGCTGTAAAAAAATTTTTTTTTTAAATCAGTTAATTGTATTTGCAAACCAAAAGTAGAAAATAACAAATTCGAATTAGAGAATGTATTTTTTTTTTTTACGTTTTCATCACAAAACTCCACAACGAATAAAGAAAGAAAAAAATTCGTTTCGTACGAAATTATCAAGTGAATCTCTGTTGTTTATTCTTTCTCCATCTTCTGTTTGCAAATTGCCAAGACAAACAATCAGTCCATTTTAATTTCCGGTTAAAATTCGTTTTTGGGGGATTTTTTTTTTTGTTTTTCGTTTATGTATTACCATTTTTTTTTAATTTCTTTTTTTTTTTTTTTTTTTTTTTTTTTGAGGAGAAAAGTTATTTGAAATCTTTTCGTCTATACAAAATCGTAGTGATGACCTAACTAATTCCCATAGGACGCGTTCTATCGTTTGACACCACCACCCACCACCGCCTCTGGGTGACATATGAGACTGTGCGTGAGAAAGCGGGGGTGGGGTCGAAGCTGCGTGATTGATTTGTCGTTGTTTTCTTGAGGAAGCGAAGGTGTTAAAATATGCACATTGTTGCACGGAGCTATTCACTAAAACCAGACAGTCAGTAAAAAGAATTTCTTTTGAATAAGACATCTTACAAAAACGCGTTAAAAATCTATCCTGACAGACTCATAACCTATACTACTATTAAATCCAGCAAGTCTGTCGATGTCTGAGTAAAAAAGACACAGAGGGGGATATTAAAACGTTAATAAAGATAACTATTTTCTTTATTATTTCACCGCATGCTAAGCAACAAAGCCACAAAAACGCAAGGTGTTACTGAGTGTAAAAGAATATATATATATATATATATATATATATATATATATAAGGGAGATACCAATAAAAGAACTAGGATTAAAAAGACATCAGATAACGTTTGAAATTTGCATTTAAATTTTTGAAGATCAAAGTTGACTAAAAAACAAGAAACCAGAAGAGAGTTACACAAACGAGAAGTACAATAGAAGAAATTGTTAACATAGAACTTACGGTTACATCTAGCCATTTCAACTGTAAAATGATGAAACTTATCTTCCTATCATGTTTTCATTTTTCAAAACACGGTCAAAGTTAATATTATTAAATGTTGTCAACAAGTATGTTACGAATAAATGCCCATTAAGGAATTGTATTCCTGATCAATCAAAATTCGTAAATAATTATACAGGCCACACTACAACATGTTTGACATGCAGACTCACTCTACACCTTTCTGACTATAGCTCAATTAGATCTCATTTAAATATTCATGGAGACCTACCGGACGCTATTCATAACATACCTGTTAACAACACTAATATAATAGCATAATCTACATGCAAAAAATGGCTAAAAATAAAGGAACATGGACACAATGTCTTGACCGTGTTTTGAAAAATTAAAACATTTTATAAAACATACATACAACAAACTATTTCTTATTTAACAGTTAAAATATTTAATCCTTGAAAATGGCTAAATGTATTGCCAAAAGCGCTCGGATAAAAAGAAGATTCGGACAATTTTTATATAATTTATCATCCGAAAAGAAAACATTATTAGATCGCATGAGAAATTGTATAAAAAACTAAATAAAAGCACCTTGTCTGTCGTTTTCAATGAAATGTGCATGAAAGAAGGATTGCTGTCTAAATACACACTCACACACACACACACACACACACACACACACACATATATATATATATATATATATATATATATATATAATAAATATATTGTGTTCTCTTTTGTGGATTAGTTTTATATTAATAGGATCTACTTGTATTACTTACCCACGGATTTTTACCTATATATATATATATATATATATATATATATATATATATATATATATACAATATTAAAATTTATTTAAATATGACTTTTTGTGTATGTATTGTTATTTTAGTGTTTTTGACGTTTCTAATTTTTTTAACGGCCGACGTAAACTCGAGTAAAACGACTTAAGGCGAGTTTTATTTTTCCATATAATATTTAAGAAAAACCGACGTATCTTCGAAAATGACTTAAATCGAAACGACTTAACTCGAGGTATGACTGCATTTAGTAAGATTAACTTGGGATGCTGTATAAAGGCCTACAAATTTAGAAATCCTGGATTCTACCGGGTCTATAGTCAGAAGCATGCCATTTCAGATTTTTCATATCTATCACTAACCTCATCAAGCACGTTCACACACTCGCACGGACGCACAGTAGATGTACGCACTAATACTTACAAAATTATCTACACTGCGCTTCTGCCTCCACACACAGGCGCGGACACACACACACACACACAATTTTCTCTTATCCATAAAATTAACACAATCTACTATTGTTTTCCTTCCAAATATCTAAACCTTACGCAAAGATGCATCATCATTTACTAAGTTTAGGTTAGTTTGGCACAAGGTCACAAATATGGAGCACCGAGTGAGGCTCGTAATCACTGCTCAATAGTCAGCCATATTAAATTTCCACATTTCCCCTACCCTTACACATATATAATTATGCTAATTAAAATTTGCTATATTTGACCGGGGGGAGGCTCAATATCGAGGATAGAGTTTATGTGCATGCAAATCATGTGGACATAGAAATCAATACTGCATGGCAACTGGCAGTTTTACGCTTTAAGCGAACATCAGTCATGTGTTCCTTCTCTTTCTGTAGGCTTTCTATATATACCACTTTTCGTCTTATCTATCTATCGTTAAACCATAAATTAATCTTAACTTCACAAAACTTAATTTAATATTTTAAGAGAATTTTCCGCTTAGTTTAGCAAAAGGCCACAAGCATATGACTCCCAGTACGGATCAAGCTTACTACATAATAGTAATGACTAAACAAATTAGGTCATTAAGTATTACCTAACGCCGAGACGTCCCAAAATATTTACGAAGTATAGCTTCGTTTGACAGAATGTCAAATTATAGGGCATTTCGTGAGGATCGAACTCTCTACTTAATAGTAATGATCAATCATGCTAGCCCGTTAACCATTACTGAAAGTCGATACCCTACGAAAATATTTACTATGCTTAGCTTAGTTAGACACAAGAACACAAGTGACGAGCGCTCAGAGAGACTTGAAGTCACTTTTTAGTAATAATGGTCGATCAGACCAGTTCGCTATAATCTCAAAACGAGGCACCATTAAAATAATATTAACTTAATTTGGCCCGAGGTGCAAAAAGGTTACTGAGTGTTATAGAATATGAGAAAAAAAAAGGAGAGAGGACAATAAAAGAACCAGAATTAAGCTTTTAATATCAAAGTTGCGTTGGAAGCAAGAAGCCAGAAAATAGTTCCACAAGCGAGAAGTGCGAGAGAAGAAACTGTTAGCATAGAACTTACGGTTACATCTGGCCATTTCAACTGTAAATTGATGGGACCTTACCGCCAATCTAGTACTGCGATTAAATACATATAATCTGGGTACCATGGTAGAAAGTTCTTTAGTTTACCATGAAAGTATTTATAGAAACGGAACAGGAAAGCTACATTAAGAATAATTTTGCACGACAAAAATATGGGGCACACAGTGAGGATCGAACTTACAACTTAGTGATAATGGTCAATTAACTTACGACGAGGTACCTTTAAATACTAAGGTCGTATTAGTTTGATATAAAGACACAAGTATTGGGAACTCTATAAGGAGAGAATTCTTTATTTATTAGTAATGGTCAGCTCCTTAACTCACCCAAATCCAGGTAGGTCTTGTGATCTGCCAGTCCAGAAACACCTCCACATATTGAGGTCATGACAGAACAGAAGTTAGCATGAGTAGTGAGATTGTGTCCACCGACGGCTTGCTAGGCCTGTCGTGTAACTTGCAAGAACTGGTATTCCCCAGCGGTCACACATGTGAATACTGACTCAATGTCGCTTAACTTCGGTGATCAGACGAGAACCGGTGTTTCAACATGATCTGGTTGTAAGCAGCTCTTTAACTAGTAGTAGTGCTTCCCGGCGCGGCTTCCATACGTAACAACACATCGTCATCGCCACGTAATGCCAACGTGATGCAAAAGACGGCAACATGATAACTTCCTTTATCTTGCACTATTTTTATTTCACCCGTATCTTTCTGGCTTTTATATTTGGTAATTATTATCAGAAGCGGCATAAATCACCAAGAGCAAAGATAACTGGAAATCTTGACGCTTATGGACGTCCGTAGTTAAGAGCTCCCGGGTCGACCGTACGCTTTCGTTCAGGCCTTTCCTCGACCAACGCCAGTAATAATTCTTATCGTTATTTCTATTTTCAAACCATTACCTGTCACTAAAAAGCCACAGGTTCTTGATCCAAGATAAAGACGTTGCTTCTTCAGACACCTAAAATAGATACAAAGATAGTCATTTGAACAAACCAAAAATAAGGATATTTTTTTAAACGGTATCATCCCGTGCGAGGCAGTAAAGCCACTAAGACAAAAGCAGTTACAGGGTGTGGAAGAATTAGGAACAGAAACATTAATTATGAGTGGAAAGAGAAAAGAGTAATCAGGAGGACAGTAGATAGCGATTGATGTTTCATTAAAATTTTTGAAGATTAAAATTGGCTGGAAAGCATGGAGCCGGGAGAGAGTTCAACGAGCGAGAAGTGCGAGAAAAGAAACTGTTAGCATAGAACTTACGGTTACATCTAGCCAGTTCAATTGTAAATTGATTAAATCTTGACGCCAGTATCGTACGGCGCTTAGATTTAAAAAAAAAAAAAAAAAAAGAAAAAAGTCTAGCGAAGAGTTCATCCGAATAATTATCATTTATAGAAAAGACACAGAGAAGCCATCTTACGGCAGTGGGAAAGTGACTGGAGCCGAGGCGCCAGATCAGGACCAATAATATTGTTGATTATTCCTTGGATTTTTATCAAGGAGCTCAAGGTAAATAGCAGGGTTATATGTGGCAGTAATATTTTAAGCATGGACGAATGGTAGACTTATAGATATGTAAGATAGATTCTGGAGAAAAAAATTGTCTTGCCCAACACAGTGAACCAACTTTTTTGACAGCTGACCTAGCAATAGATTCAATATAGTCTTTCCACTTCATGTCACCTGAGAACGTTAGCCAGAGAAGGCGCAACGAGTCATATATAATATTTTTTACATTATTCGGACTATTGTCATCATCTTTGTCGCCATATTTATTACAACGTTTCGGCCGTTGTACGCTCCGGCCTTCTTCAGGTGGTTGGAATGTGGAACTGAACCCTTTATTTCGCTCACTGGGGTAGACTGTTCTAGTTCTACGTGCCATGTTTGATGGATGTCAGTTATCAGTTATCTCCTGCTAATTTCCCTCTGAAAGTTCTCCACTGCCTTAATCGGGTATTGAACTCACACACTTTGGGTCCTGTCACTGGAAATAAACTAACGCCTTTATCCACTGTGCTATGTGTCCTTGTGATAAATATGGCGACAAAGATGAGGACAATAGTCCGAATAATGTAAATAATGTACATAATACCTCATCTCAGAAATATAGACAGACTCATATATAATAGTATTCAAATTCCCCTGATAAATTATTGCCGATTATTTATGAGTAGTTCCACCAAAAATGGTGGCAATTGTTACAAAATTTTAATAGTGAGATGCAATGAAACAAGTCCTGAAGCAATGTATTGGGATTCAATAAAGCAAAGAAAAAGAATTCACATTTAAAATAGAAGCCAATGAACCGTTTAATTAACCCGTTCCCTTTATATATTTTAGACGTTCAATGATATCTATCATTCATTGATTACTCTTGGTATTATATAAATCGATTTTTGATCAATATCTGTTCATGTTAAAAAAATCCACGTGTTTTATATAACAGTGAAATGAAAATATCTATCGGGTGTAAAAAAAAATAGCAACAGAACAAAGACGGCGACGACAAAAACCTATTTCAAGACCAAGTTGAAACAAGACAATTACTTAATAGAAAAAGGTATCTGAGTGCCTCACATGAAAGGCTTGAACACATAAGACTTTAAGATTCATTAAAACACAGAAACAATTCACAACTAAAATAGACGCCAATGAACCGTTTAATTAATCCGAACTCTTCATATTTTTGACACGTTCAATGGCATGAATGATTCATTGACTATTTATTTATTGTTTATTTATTTTAAATAGTAAAGCTGTCATGGTTATATTTTTTCATTTTAATTCTATTTTTGAAATCAATTTATGTAAAGTGAATCATTATTTTTAAAAAAAGTTAGCTTACTTTTGTTCGGTAGTATTTTAAACGGGTTGAATTAAAATTGCTGCAGTTTATCAGTCTGATGATCACCCTTAACTCCTATGCCAGTTATATTTACTCGGCCTCCCCACTAAGGCTGGATTTGACACAAGGTCGTTTTAACGTGGGGAGCGCTATACGCATACTTAGGCATATGGGCCAAGAACAAAACAAAATGTTCTTTCCTCAGCCCCCGTAACCACTGTCAGGCTGGCATCAGTATTACAGCGACCCAACCTCTTTAGTGCAACGAGGAAAGTGCCGCTACAGGGTTAGAATCCCCGGGGCTGACCAACTTCTCCCATTTAAAATGAGGAGAAACATAGCTCCACATATAGCACAGGGGGCAGAGGGAGTAACCATGTCTCAGTAAACCTTCATTGTCAATGGTTAACTCTTGGGCTAGGTAACTGAAATGACGGTAATTGTTAGAAAGTTTTAAAAAGAGATGCAATGAAACAAAAGTCTTCAGACAAAAAAAATGAGATTCAATAAAGCGGAAAAAAAGAATGAAAGAATAATGGAGATGTTGACGCGCGGGAAAACAAAGCTGGAAGAGAAAGTAGGATTTTCGTTAGTTTCGTATTCAGTATTAAACAAGCCTGTTTAATACTGAATACGAAACTAACGATTTCTATTGCGCATGACATTTGGCAGTCAAGTGTCATGCGCGATAGATGCTTGCGCGATTATGTCTCTTTTGATTAATGACTGACTCGGCATTAGATTTTTCGCGCAGTAGGCTGCCATTTCTTTCTGCGACAGGCTGGTTGCCATCCAAGGCTATAAGGACCAGTCTGTCCTGCTATTCAAATAATCACTTAGGTTTACGTTAGGTTTAGTTCCTTTTGAAAACCTCTGGCCTGCCTCAAAAAGCATCTCCACAGAAATACTTACACTTTCGCTAAGTCGGAACTTCAACCAGTTTATAAGCACACTGTCTAATTCTGAACTCATGGCACCTTTCAATGTTTTTTTCGACTTTCGTTTTTAGCATGAAACTTAAAGATCTGCTACTTTTGTTTCTTTAAGTCATACACAGTGGAGGATCCGGAGTCATAGTAATCGTGAAAACTATTTGCAAACGTTAATTTCTTCAGTAACTCCAAGTATAGATAAAGATTAATACGCTTCTTAGAACAATTATCTGCACCTCCTGCTCTCTTCGTGGCATCCTGAATGCGTAATTATGCAACTATATATATAACGTCATCCACAGACAGACTGTTTCGCTGTATCATAGCTCTTCAGTGTGGCTAGGGTCGAAACCCGACTGAATTGGCGTCAGTCGGATATTCTACCACTAAGCCATCGCCTCACGGCAGGGATGAAGATGAATTTTACCGTATTTATTTTTAGATAAACACACAGTGACCGATAGGACTCAATTATATTATATATATATATATATATATATATATATATATATATATATATATATATATATATATATATATATATATATATATATATATCCATTACTTTCGCTTACGTGCTAATTACCCTTGGGAAAGGTATGAATCCTCTTCTTCTCCCTCCAGCTATGGGTGAATAGCAGGACAATCTTGGGAGGACAACTCTGAATTCAAAACCCGCGGAGGGTTCTTTAGGGACCTTGTGGCACGTTGTGCACCAGGTCTCTATATTCGACCCTTTAAAAAGTTCGCTTAATTTTGTTCGGTAGTATTTTAAACGGGTTGAATTAAAATTGCTGCACTTTGTCAGTATGCTGATCACCGTTAACTCCTATGCCAGAGTATATTTACCCGGCCTCCTTACCAAGGCTAGATATCGCACAAAGCCGTTTTAACCCGGAGGGTTTCTCCATGCACATACTTATGCATATGGGCCAAGGACAAAAATTTTTGCCCAACCCCCGTGACCACTGTCTCGCTGGCATCAGTATTATAGCGACCTCACCTCTTTGGTGCAACGAGGAAGGTGCTGCCGTATGGTTGGGATCCCCGGGAGCTAAGCAACTTCTCCCAGCTTTAAATGAGGAAAAACCTATGACACAGTGACACGTTGACATTCGAATTTATTATATAGCTATATATAGTTCGAGCATATCACTAAAACATTCTGCTGCCGTGGAAAGTTGTAAACAGCATGTTGTGCTGTCCTTGTAACCACTCAACGAACTAATGGCAACTGATTTAAAAAGAAAGAAAAAAACGGAACCATCGGAGTTGCCGGAGTGCAGATTGCCGAACTAAAGAGGTCAGACTGTATCCGATTTTACCTTTCATCCTATTTCTCATTTAGGCTGGCTTCCATTTTTTTTTTTTTTAGGCGAAACTTGTCTGCGATGAGCGTTCTTCAAAATGGCGCAATTTTTGATTTTCTGCCAACTCACGTGCAATTCTTTTGTTTTTTTTTATTGTTTTTTCTCTTTTTTTTTTTGTCTTTTAAATCTGTCCTATTGAAATTAAATAACAAGAAATAGTCGTAGGATAAAAAACAAACTGTAAGGATTACTGAAAGATTTCCAACTGTTATTCTAGAGATAATTTACACCGTTTTTTTTTTTTGTTTTGTTTTGTTTTTAGCTTGTTCTAGTTTTTGATATTCGTTGGTTTGTCTCAGAATTCATTTGAAATATTCTGATTTTCGGAACGAAATATCTGAAACTGCTGTAACTTTGATCATTAGTATTTCCTTCTTCAAAGGCCAAATTGTTGCGTTTTCTCTTCGCTTTACTTCCATTATGTTCTAATTTAATCTTCACAGACAACATTTTTCCAAGAGAGAGTGAAGCAATTAGTCAGTTGATGAGTAAACCACCTTATCAGTAAATAACTAAGATTCCAATAGCAAATGATACAATGCTAATGGTGAGATTAACCGTTTCCACACAGGAAACATTAAGCATTCATTGACCAAACATTTAGCGTTCTTGTCGGTTGATATGCATAAAAGAGCTTTTCAGGAAATTAAACTTCTGAAGTCCACTAACTGCTTTCGCTCTTTTTAGTTTACTATTGGAAGATAACGTCAAAAGGAAGGAAGAAAGAAAGGAAAAAAAAAGAACGAAATAAAGAAAGAAAAAAAGTAAAAGAACGAAAGAAAGAATCAAAAGGAAGGAAGAAAGAAAGGAAAAAAAAAGAGAATCAAAATGAAAGAAGAAAGAATAGAAAAATGAAAAAGAAAGAAAGGAAAAAATAAAATAAAGAAAGAAAAAGAAAATAAAGAAAGAAAGAATCAGAAGAAAAAAGAAAGAAAGAATAAAATAAAGGAAGAAAGAAAGAATCGAAAGAAAGAAAGAAAAAAGAAAGAAGAAAAGAAAGAAAAATCAGAAGAAAAAAGAAAGGAAGGAAGAAAGACTAGAAAAATGAAAGATAGAAAAGATTTGCCTATTGTCAGGTTCACACTCCTCCCGTATCTTTTGAAAAGGAGTAGAGGTTAATCCTTTGGTTTTCCGGTCCCTTCTAAAGTCTACCTCAACTCTATACTCCTAACGTCTCAGATTGAACTCTGACATTTTATTTGCTAATTTAACCTCATCAAGTCTAAAATTGCATGTTTATCTTTCTCTTTCCCTTTCTTACGCTAAATACAACACCAGACAGTAACCCTCTACCTTGAGTGCCCCCTGGGCCTTGTATTGGGTGAACATTAGTAAAGAAATAAAAAAGGATCAAAAGAAAGAAAGGAAAAAAGAAAGGAATGAAAAATCAAAAGGAAGGAAGAAAGTAATAATAAAAAAAATGTTTGGGGCAAGGGGAAATTCCTTCCTTGGGGGAAATTTCAGGATTTCTGTGGGGCCACAGATTAGTACACACAAAATGTTAACTTTCGAATTCCCCAAGATGGCTCAACCTGCAATGTGCATCGGTCGGTGCAACTGAGAGGTCACGCTGGGTTTTCTTTCCGGGAGGCTCTCGTGCCACTACAAAAATAATCTATGTCAATGTATACAACGTCCTAATAAGGAAAAGAATGAAGATTTTCAATAATATAGGCATATAATTTGGAATGCAGCTTTTGAGTCGGACAATCTTGGAAAGTGGAGGGGGATGACATCCTGACATATGGTGAAAAGGGGGCAGTGGACAAAAAAGGCCGAGAACCAATTGATAGAAATATTATCTGAGAATAATCAGGGACAACTAGGACAATCTAAGGCGGGATATTTAAATGAAACTATGTATTCACAGATTGCGACGTCTATCAGAGAGATGAAATTTAATTTTTTATTATTGCATTATTCCGAAATTTTAAATTATTGTTATGAAGAAAAACGATACATTTCAATATTATTCAATGATCTTGCCGATGTGATCTCCATCTTCTGGCTTTCTCCTTCTATATTTTGGATAGGAGTCATTCCCTTGTTCAAATTTGATTATTCTTTAATTCCGTATTTTCAGAAACGTTTCTTGAGACATTACGTATTCCTCAATGTGTTTTTATCTCTTGTTTTGTTTTCTCGTGTGAGCGTAGATGTATATTAGTTTGCGTGTGTGTGTGTGCGTGCGTGTTTGTCTACATGTGAGTCGCTGAGATATGTGCGCTCGTTTGTGCTAATGTAATCGCGTGTGTCTGTATGCATATATGCGTGCGGCATCTCTACGTGCGTGCGTGTGTGTCTGTATGCGGCTGTACTTGTGAGTATGTGCGTGTGTGTGTGTGTGTGAGAGAGTGAGAGAGAGAAAGAGAGCGCGCGCGCGCGCGCGTGTGTTTGTGTGTGTGTAGATTTTTTGTGCGGCGGGCGAGATGAATGTTTTAATTGACATTTTTTCCTTCTCAATTTTACTTCAGCTATTGGCCTTACATTTCATGTTTTTCACTCATTTCATGTTTTTCACTCATTTCTTTTTCATTTTCTTTCGTCTTTTATTAGTCTCTACCAGTTTCTCTGCCACCGCTCTCTGCTTTCTATCTCCTTCTCTTAGCTAAAAACATGTTCTTTCCTTCTAATCTATCTATCTATCTATCTATCTATCTATCTATCTATCTATCTATTGCGGACTTTGTTCATATCTATCTATGTTTTCATTCAACTTTTTAAAATGTCTTTGGTCATTTTCTTTTTAGTTTCTTTCCCTTTGATGTTCATACTTTCTGATAGATAGATAGATATCTAGCTAGATAGATAGATATAATCAAGAACAGACAGTTAGAGAGATATGAACAGAGTCTTAGATAGAACGATAGATGTAAAGAAATATCAATTACCATTGCAACATAATACTTGGCTTTCTATATTGTAGCTCTGTTTTTTTTTCTTCTCTGATATAAAACTTTAAATCTGATTTTTTTTTGGGGGGGGTGATTCTCCACGCATGCGCGAAACATCGCTATAACAGTAGAAGAATGTATCAATGTGGTATTTAGTATATACAATGCACTTGAACTACCCCATTACATTACGACTATCAAAAACACACACGACAGACAGACATGCAAAAATTTGGAAGAAGGTCGTATTTTCTTTCTCTTAAATGTACTCCGCCTTACTCTGATGACCTCGGAATATATCTTAAAAAAAAAAAAAGAAATAAAAATAAAAAGCATTATTTAACGTTAAGTGCATTCGTGTGTAGGATTATTTAAGTGTGATGAAAATCTAAATGAAAGAATAATGAAGATAAAGTGTTGACGTACGAGAAGGCACAAAGCTAGAAGAAATGGTAGGATGTTCGTTAGTTTCGTATTCAGTACTAAACCAGCCTGTTTGGAGCGAGTGAAATCTGTGGGTTTTGAAGAAGCCCACACTTCTTCGAACCTTGTGGTATTGGCGCTACAGAATCGAAAACAAAGAACTGTGCAAAGTAACAGAAAACACTTCAAGGAGTTTCAATAGAAGCAACAGCTAAAATGGATATCACATGTAACTCGAAGAGAAGATGATAACATAATCAAGACGTTGTCCAACCGCACTACTTCAGACATACAGTTAGGAAGGAAACGTCTATGAATATTTGAAAGAGCGATAATAGCTATTCGACTTGAGAAACTTGAAAAATTGTTTTAAAAAAGATCTATATAATAAATGCGAATATCAGTGTGTCATTTTTTTTCAATTAAAGGGACAAAACTCTCTAACTTTCAATAGCTCATGTCACAGAAATTTTGGATTCCCAATTTTTCATTACTGCGATTATTTTCGGCGATTTTTTTTTTTTTACGGGATTTTTTGCGACGAATTTTTTTGTACGATAAGAATTTTTATAACTTGGAAATAAATTTGAGAATAATCGAAATTAATTACGAAATCCATCGACAGCCTCCCATGTAGTAAAAGTAATTGTTTCTGCTGAAATTACTTTCAGCAGAAACAATTACACACATCATATTTTCTTTCAATTAAGTGGCGGCAGAAGAATTATCGTTGAACTTTTTAAAGGCAAGCTTAAATATTAATTCAATACTTAAATGCAGCGATCTATTTTGAGTTCTTCTCTAGTTTATTGTTGCCTATCGCCTAAGGCAGCGGTATGCCTCGCAAAAAGAAATCTCCGCCAACAGAGGACCAGATTGCAATCAAAAGAGCCAAGGCTGCATCGAGAAAAAGAAAGTCCCGTGCAAATTAAAACCCAGATCAAACGGCAGGCTGGAGAGCTTCCAATGCTGAGAATATACAAAGACTTAGGGACTCTCAAACTCCTGAACTAGCCGAAAGCCCAAACAAGATCCCTCCGCAGCAGCTAGCTAAAATGTCGCCCGATAGGGCAGCTTTTAAACTAATATTTTATAAATTTCAACTGAAAGCAGTATTACTCCTCGACCTATGAATGCTGAATGTTTCCTTGGAAAGAAACGGTTAATATTACCATTACCATATCTTATGCTCCATTGTTGCAATCCGCGTTTCTTTTATATTCTGAAGTAGTGAAATAATAGCAACAGGTCTAGATTGAGAAGTCCTGCTAAAGAATAATTGGGTGGTAATTCAAAACTTGCGCTAGCAAGCTGATGAGTCTCTGTGGCGAAACCGTTAGCGGCATACTTTCATTAAAAAAGCGGTTTCCCTGAGGAAAAAGTGATATAAGTTCGATTCCTGTCAGAGGCAAGACTTTTCTTAAGTGAGACTTCTCAATCTTAACTGCTTTTTATTAATTTCACTGATGAATAAAATAAAATAAAATAAAAACGGGGATAAATACGTGTACCTACCAAGTGAACGGTTGGGTTTATTTTGTTTTACGGCATATCAACACCTCAATGGGTTATTTCCTGCCTACAAGATTTTTTAGGATAGGTTCGTATGAATAGAATATATATTCTTTGTAAGAAATCAGTTTGTAGATTTGGTCTCATTGACGTATTTTTTGAGATTTTTTTTTTTTTTGTCGAGTGTCAAATATATTGCTTGTAATATTTTTTCCAAAAATGTATTGCTCGAATTTTTTTTTCAAATATATTGCTGTTATTTCCACTACAAAAATTCAATTTAAATACTTTCATAGTGTTTTGACCCCAGTTTGGGGGTTAAATCTTTTTCCTTAGCTTGGGCCCTAACAGGTTCTGCCACCCCAAGTTTGGGTGGACCTGGGAATAACAGAAATTAAGAGGTGGTTTCACACTTCTCAGAACCGCCCGATTAGAGACCTTGCTGCCGGATGTAGTTTATCGTTATACCCAGAACGCCCCAAAAGCGCGTTAATACTAATAAGAAATATATGTAGTTGTGTTTACAAATATCTTTTTGCATGTATGGGACAACACATGTGTCTGCTGGAGTGAAAATATATGAGAAAGAAAGAAAGAAAGAAAGCAATGTGGGAATGAAAACGGGCAAGAAAGATTATGGGAAAAGATAAAACGATATATAAAAGAAAGAGAGAGAGAAATGGCTGAAGAAAGAAAGAAAGAAAGAAAGAAAGAAATTGTGTAACAAGAAAACAGTACAGTAGAAAAGATGAACCTATGATAACTGGAAGAAAAAAAAACAGACAAAAATACACAAGAATACAAAACAAAACAAAACAAAACAAAACAACAACAATAACATTATAATCAGTTCAATATGGCGTAAAACTTTTAGCCGTCTCGTAAACCTACCCGGGGTGTGGTCGACTGTTGGCATTTCGACCTACCCGAGCAAACATAACTGATTCCCACTCCAATCCGCACCATTTTTTGACTATTGATAAATCGTTTCTCGCTGTTCTCCAAGCCCAACGCATCACCCCACCAAATGTATCGATGCTGGCTTCTCAAAGCAACCTAAATTCCAACCACACCTAAAATAAATAAACAAATAATAAATAAAACTATAAAACAGAAAAGAAAACGTTTTCTGATATATGTCAAATGTACGCATTTGTTTTTTTCGTCTCGTCTGTTAACTTTCCAATTTTTCTTACCTCCCTTTTTTCCTTGCTTACTTTTAAGTGGTTTTCATATTTACTTTCTTACCTGCGTCTCCTATTTTTTTTTTTCGACTAAATTAACGCCAAGCCGTGGCGCATTTCTCGATTTAGCTGTTGCGGAGTAATAGATAGCGGCTCGAATTGAGTAATTGGAGAGGGGAGTTCGAATTACAGTCGAATCCATTACATTCACTTGTTTAACTGAAATTAAACACAAGGTAATAAATTAGCAAGATCTTTCTCACTTTTTTTTTTTTTATCCATTTCCACTTGTTCTGGGATAAAAGGATGTTATGATACAAACAAAATCGACTCGCTTAATGAGGCCTTACCCTCAAACTGACTATCAAATTTGAATATAAATTAGCCATCCAAGACAGCCGCATATATAGTTAGGAAGAAAAATAGATCCAACACTGCATCAGATGCCGAAATTTATGACGGAAAATGCCTAAATTGTAGAAAAAGTTACATTGGTGAAACATCTCGGAATCTAAAAGTCTGCATCTACTAATATATATATATATATATATATATATATATATATATATATATATATATGTGTGTGTGTGTGTGTGTGTGTGTGTGTGTGTGTGTGCGTATGTGTGTTTTTTATAACACACACACACACACACACACACACACACACACATATATATATATATATATATATATATATATACCTATTAAAGAACAGAGATTGTGCAGCCAAATTTAGTGCTGACTGGTTCACCGTGTTGTCCCGGTCTCACTCTTTATTTCATCTAAAGGTTCTGGAGGCACTTTACATCGGGTCCCGCAAGCCTTCTTTGTGTAAACAACGTGAATGTTTGTTGGGGCTCGTTGTCATTTGTTTCTAATTCCTTTTGCTATTTTTTTCCTCCCACAACTTCCTTTTATTGTACATTCTTCTGTATTTAATTTTAAATTAAATCTCCCGTTGAAGCCTGAAGAGCGGGAGCGAAACCAGTTGCTTTGCCCGTTTTTAATATGTCTAGTAATATTAAGTTTTATACTTTTATTTCGATCATATATATATATATATATATACATATATATATATATTAGATCCGTTGGGTTTTGTAGGTTTTTAAAGCAACTCACTCCAATACGTTATTTCACCGATCATTGCAAAGACGCTAATAGCACAGGGCAGTACACGAGCAGGTGGAGAGAAGTACAAGTGTACTACTGATTTAAAGGCAGCCAGTCTAGAAGGAAGCTGTATATTAAAAGCTGCTTCAAGAGGAAGGCCGTCTGGAAGCCACATGACACACTCTGCAGTATTTATCGGGTACAATTTCTTCCAGAAAGTGTAACTGGTTCTGCGCACCTTTTCATCGCTATAATCAAATCATCTTTATGGGTAGCCTGGCTATTCAGTTCTAATACAGAAACATTGCGCCCTCATATGTCGAAACCGACGGGAGAACTCATCACACACACACACACACACACACACACACACACATATATATATATATATATATATATATATATATGCACGCATGCATACATGTAGGTGAACTTATGTAGACGTAATTAAACGCGTTCAAGCGATTGTAAAAGTAAACACGTTTATCCCCAGCCATCAATGAATTCTTTCTTTTTATGGAATAAATGGTATTCCTTTTAAGCAAGCATGTTTTGTCAATTTTCTTTTCCTCTTTTTCTTTTCATTCCTTTTTTCCCCTCTCTCTCTCTCTCTCTCTCTCTCTCTCTCTCTCTCTCTCCTTCATTTTAGGCAAACATGTTTTGTCAATTTCATTTTCCTCTCTTTCTTTTCATTCTTTTCTCTCTCTCTTTCTCTTCTTTTTAGAGAAGCATATGTTATCAATTTTCTCTTCCTCTTTTTCTTTTCATTCTCTTCTCTCTCTCTCTCTTTCTCTCTCTCTCTTTCTATATATATCTCTCTCTCTCTCCTTTTGGACAAGCATGTTTTGTCAGTTTTATTTTCCTCTTTTTTATTTCCATTCTTTACCTCCGTTTCTCTGTCTGTCTCTCTCTCTCTCTCTCTCTCTCTCTCTCTCTCTTTGTGCCATTGGTGTAATGTTGCTTTCTTTTTGTTTATTTATCTATTGTATTTAAATGGGATTTTTCGCTTTTTGTCTTTTCTTTAACTTCTTAAAATACAAGAAAGAAAGAAACAAGCTAATATATTTAACTAAGTAACTGACACTGAAAAACGAAACAAAAAAATAAAAAAAAAACGGCTCCCGACGCTACCAACAAACGCAACATGTCCTCCTGTTCTAGGGACTTCAAGTTGAATATACTTGTAAATTTTGAGATGAATTAAGCCCAATCCATTCTAGGCTCAAAAATCAAGCTTCGTCCTTAACAACAATGATAGAAAAGTCTCTTAAATATGCACAGTTTCCCGTGGATTAGCGCGTAAAACGGACTATGCCAACTAAGTCCGAATTCCAGTTAAAGCTTCCTAAATCCCCAATGTTCTTGGGAAAAGCATGAATCGAATACTGCCAGTAACAAGGTTATTTTGACCTTGTTCTTTCTCCCCCTCCACTAGGTATGCCGCGATAGTAGACAAACAATTAGCTTTTTGTTTCTATTTTCTCCAAGATTTCATCGTTGCTCTTATGTTCGGTCTATGGTATTTTCAGCATCTTTCTGAAGAATCACAGTTCTATAGTTTCACGTCTGTTTTTCATCTGTGAGGAGATTGTCCAGCATTCACTGCCATATAGAACGGAGCTACATAACAGTTCAATAATCTTTTCTTTGTTTCTAACGAAAATTTTCTTTTTCTTAATACTTTGCTTAGCTTTTGGAAGGCAACTTTCAGTATTCCAATACGCCTTCTGATTTCAGTGACACAATTCACGTCCTCTGTTAAAGCATTTCCCATATATTTAAAAAAAAAAATTTTAAGCGTTTCACCCCAAGCAAGGCGGGAAGCAACTAGCGCGCAAGGGGTTACAGAGAATTAGAGTGAGAGCAAATAGGAGTGATAGGATGAAGAGAAGGATAGGGGATAGATCAAGGCATCTGGAGACGTCGATTGATATTACATTTGAATAGATGGGGATTATAGCTATCAGGGAAACAGGAAAAAGGGAGGGAGTTCCACAGGCGAGAAGTGCGAGACATGAAGCTATTGGAGTAGAGGAAGCAGTTACATTTAACAGTTTCGACAGTGAAAGGATGAGAGCGAGATGCCAGCCTAGTTGAACGCTTAAATTCATGAAGTCTGGGAACCAGCGAAAGCAGCTCATCGGAGCACTTAACGTGAAAGTATTTGTAAAAAAGACAGAGGGAGGCGACGGCACGTCTGTGAGAGAGTGGCTTTAGACGAGATGCCAGATCAGGGCCAATTACATTGCATATCCGTTTCTGGATTTTATCAGTTGTTGTAACTGTTTGATTTTGGTATCGCCAATTTTTAATTTGCGTGTAGAGATGTTCCTTTTACTAAGAACTATTCATTCCGTCTTCTTGTACTCAACATTTAGTCCTTTCTTCTCTCTTTCCTTCACCAACTTTTGTAGGAGTTCTTACGATCTAAAAAAAAAAAAAAGAAAAATTTCCGGGCTTTATATAATCTGCAAAAGGCTGATAAGCCGTAAAAAAGTAAATCAGTCAATCAATCGAAACAATATTAGACCAGCGACTACCTTCTACCGCTCTGAGAAAAACGGCATAAAAAAAGAAAAGAAGAAAATTGACTTATACTTATTAAAGGGAATAGTACTTATATCTTCCCTTCATGTTCAGCACCTGGGGTGAAAGGTCGATATCCCCTACTTTATTTTACTTTATTTTTTTTAAGATTGCCATTATTTTCATTTATTATTTTTTTTTTTCCTTTTGTATTATTTTGGAAATAAAAGGCATACAGAGAATTAAGTGCCAAAGTTCAAGTCCTCACTCCCGATTATAAAGAGTCAAAGATTTCAAATGAGCTTCATGGTTTTATTACTGTTGTAGTATAACTAAGGACGATAATGGGTATGACCTCATTCACATAAATACAGTAGTAAATACTGTATGTTGATCTGCAGTTGGAAATTTGTCTCCAGCTGTGCTGATCAAACTCTCTGCCTCCGGGCAGAGTGGATCCCCAGACGAGGCTATATCGAAGAGCAGAGTCTCGTCTAGGAAAACAGCTACCCAACCCCATTTTATACAGGGTCTTCGGGAAAGTTATGGAAAGCTATGATCACTCATAAGCGGTCCCATGTCTACCTTGTTGACTCCAGCGTAAATCGAACGTCTGTCTACCTATGTGAAAGGTGAAAAAAGAACCTTTATTACTTTACTTTAGAATAAAACAATTTTATTATAATGCAAATCGGACGTATCTACCTTTTTGAATAATAACTGGGACCAATGCCGGCCATTTTGAATCTCGTGTAAACTGAATCTATTCTTTCCTTTTTGTGTCTAGTGTAAACCGGGCCTGTGTCTGCCTTTTTTACTCAAGTGTAAATCGAACCTATGTCATCCTTCTTTTAACTTCAGTGTAAACTGGATTTTTTTTTAATCCGGGGTAAACCAGGCATGTTTTTCATCTGTGTAAACCGGAACTATATCTGCTTTTTTCTTTATTCTAGTGTAAACCAGACGTATGCCTACCTTTTTTACTCAAGTATAAATTGGACCAAAGTCTCTTTTTTTTTTTTACTCTAGTGTAAACCGGACTGATGTTGATCACTTTTTACGCTCAGATAATGCGGTAGTCAGTCTATCTTTGTTCGTCTAGGGTAAACCGCACCGACATCGGCCTTTTTTGACTCAGGGATAAACCGGGCCTAAGTTTGACTTTTTTACTTTAGAGTAAACGAAATCTATATCACTGTAGAGCGGTTTCTTTAACCCATTCTTCTCTGCGGCCCATTTTTGGTGTCAAAAAATTTCAGCCCCCTCACCTATATGCACAATTAAAAATTCTATGTAATAGGAAATACATTTTATTTACAAAGGTAAAATATAGTAGAAAATATAAATTTTGACTAAAGACAACATTGCTACCGTTGTTTTCAGGCCCATTTAAAATATTTCTCAGGACCACTTTTGGGCCTCGGAGCCTACGTTGAGAATCACTTCTCGGGGTAAACCGGGCCTACGTCTGCGTTTTTGGCTCTAGTGTCATTCGGACCTATGTTTCAGTTTTTGACACACGGACAAACCGGAGCTAAGTCTACCTTTGCGACTCTAAAGTAAACCAGACCAATTTCTATCGTTTTGTTTCTACAGTGTGTTCAAAATGTCACGCAACAATTGTCAGAAAACATACATTGTGTAATAGCGATCAGGGAAAAATTGCATGACATCATCTTCCATAATTGGACCAATAAAATTTCTTAATAATATATTGTCACAAACAGAAACATGATTCCATTTTGGTAAATATATATAAAATTTACAATGTTTTTCAATGGTAATGCGACTTTTGGAACACTTTGTAGTAGAAACTGAACCTAAATCTATTCTATTTTACTAGTGTAAACTGGACCTAAATTTATTTGATTTTACTCTAGTGTAACTTGGACCTATGTTTGCCTTTTTTTTACTCAAGTGTAAACCGAGTTCCTGTTTTGAATATTCAAAATTGGTCTCCCCGTGTTTTGTTACTCTCCTCTTTGAGAAAGCTATTTCTATTTACTGGGACTATAAAAGGACACTATACGCGAACCTTGTATTCTCAGTTGAATAAAGCTTTCTCAAAGCCTACACCTGCAGACTTTTGTCAATATACTTCTGTCTATCTTTTTTAGTCTCGAATAAACCGTACCTCTGTCTACCTTTGTGATGCCAGAGTAAACCGGATCCTTGTTTACCATTTTGACTTTAGTGTCAACCTGTCTATTTAATTATGTGATTTTCTCCTTACATTTTGACGTTAAAAAATCAAGTAAATTTTGATATGACATTAAATTGACTAGCATAGCTTCGAATCCATTACATTCGCTTACGAATCCATTATATTCACTAATATAGTGCTAATACCCTTGGGAAAGGTATGAATCCTCTTCTTCTGCCCTCCAAGCAAGACAGACTGGGTTCTATAGACTTGGATGGCGACTGGTCTACCGCAGAAAGAAAAAGCAACCTATTGCGGGAGAAAAAAAATCTGCCTCGTCAGTCATGTATCGAAAGGTACATGATCGCCTAAGCGTGTATCATGCATGGTACATGTACAAAACAAACTTTCAAACGTTTTCGCCAGGTAAATATTCTTAAATGTCTCTGGGCGTGGATTTGTGTTCATTTTATTTTTATATGCATATTTGTTTTCTCATTAGAACAGCGTTTCTCAACCAGGGTTTCCCGGAACCCTAAGGTTCCGCAAAAGATCCCCCAAGGGTTCCGCGAGAACAGATGAGATAAGTTAAAGGCACTTTTGACTTTTTATTTAATTCTGGATTTCTGTGAAAGAAGATTTTCCTACCATTCATAAGAAAGCAATTAACATATTGTTGCAGTTTCCAACGTCTCACATGTGTGAGCAAGCCTTTTCTTATTTAACAAGTACCAAGAACAAAGACAGAAATCATCTTCTCTCAATTGAGAATGAAATCCGTGTGTGTTTATCTAAAGCTCAACTTCGAATTAAGTATTTGTGTAGCAAAAGACAGGCGCATGTTTCACTTTAGCTCTGAAAGTAACATTTTCTTAGCCCATGTATTGGTTCACGGGACATGTTGCTTTGATTTACCTTATGTCTTTTCAACATTGTCAGTAAAGGATTAAAAAAAAAAATGATGCATCAATTATCTGTTTTCGTTCTATTTACATTTATATTATAGGTATATAATATTGGTTACTTATGTTTATCTTTTATGTTTGAGTTTAGAATGTTTTTGAGTGAATGAAAATTCCCTGATGAAGTATTATAAACGAACAGTATTAATTTTATGTAGCATTACCGAAAAATTTGACAAAAAATATTAATTTTTCCTTAAACCAGTTATTCAAAAATATATACTATGATATTTACCACGTGATCTACGATGAAAATAAAATGAGAAAGATATGGTCTATAATTTTGTTTTTGCGCAGGGGTTCCTTGAAACATGTAAATTATTTTAAGTGTTACGCAAG